CACGAGCACAGTGAAGCGTCTGGAATTCCCATTCTTCTCGGGGTGTTCATGGTTTATGATGGTCCACACAGTGGAGTGCGTTCTTGTAGTCAGTGAAACTCGGGGTGTTCATGGTTTATGATGGTCCACACAGCGGAGTGCGTTCTCGTAGTCAGTGAAACACAAGCAAGTAGCGTTTTGGTGTCCTGCTCAGCCAAGATCCATCTGCCATCAGCAGTGATCCCCCTTGTTCCACCTCCTCGTCGGAGTCTGCCCTGACCTTGGAAATGTACTACTGCAGCCGGTGTCGAGGGATCTTCAGCAGACTTTTACTGGCACGTGACATCAATGATTTTGTTCTAAAGTGTGAGCATTCTGTTGGGTCACCTTTCTTTAGAATGGGCGCAGATAGGGATCTCTGCCCGTCACGTGGCCAGGTAGCTAGCTGTCTCCCAAATTTCCTGACATGAGTGAGTGCTTCCAGGGCTTCATCACCTTGCTGAAACATTTCAGTTGCTATTCCATCAACTGCTTATCTTTGTTTAATGCTTTCGGTGCGCATTCATTGGGTACCCTCAGAGCGAGCAATCCCAACAAAGTCCAACCACCACCAACTCCATAGCCTTGGCACAACAGTCATCTGCTGCTTCTCACCGGAGGGCATTCCAGCCTTAAGTCCAAGGCAGTTCCTTAAACGTGCTGTAGGTGGGTTTGAGGTAAAGCCTTGTTCTGTTGTGGCCTAAGAAGGATGTTGTGTGCCTTGAAAGGACAGAGTCCAAAGTCCCAGGAGTCTATAACGCAAGGCCTGAGTCACCACAGACTGGATAGGAACTAGGACAAAAGTGTCCAATGAGGAACATTAAACTAGAATAAAACAAACCAGCTGACTGCCGTCGCATCCATTCCCACTCAGGCCACCCGACAGCCCTGGGCGTCCTCCTCCCTCGGCTCTCGATAAGTACTGTTGAGCATCTTTTGCTTTCTCGCAGACGTACTGCCCTCCTCCCCTAGCCTGGACTTGAATTTCCAGTGAAGTTGCTTATCAATCCTGTGGGAGTGTCAGTTGGTTTGAAGTGACCTTGGCTCAAGGTTGTATGGCAGCGACTGAATGGTCTTTCCTTCTCTCCACATCTTGAAAGATGAGGTCTCCCCTATCAAAGTGGTTTTTAAGATGTGCATATGAGAGGGTGGTCTAGGGCTCGTGGGCACTAGCCAGGTTCTCTAGCTGTTGCTTGGGAGATCCGATGAGAGCAGGAGCCTGCCTGCATCTAGGTGTTTTTCCTTACGGCAGTGAACTCACACAGTGCTTGTCTTTTTGTGATTGACTAACGTCACTCAGCATAATGTTCTCCAAGTCTGTCCTTGTCATGCGGTGTCTCGTGGTTTCATCGCTGTTAAGGGATGCACAGTATTCCATTGTGTGTATGCCCGTGGTTTCTTTATCCATTCTTCTACTGAGGTGCGTGTGGGACTGTTTCTTGGAACCGATTCTTGTATACCACGTTCACTGCAGCATTTGCTACCCTAGCCAAAAGGTGGAAGCAACTTTAACATCTGTCCCCAAATCAGCGGATAAGCAGAATGGGCTCCCCCAGGGGACTATTACTTTTGATGTACACTACAGCTAGATAAACCTTCAAAACAAGATGCTCAAATAAGCCAGACCAGAAGGACAAATACTGTATGATCCTACTTCCTTGCAGTAAAGATCAGCGTTTACTAGTTGTTACCAAGGGCAGTCGACTGCTCCTTGAAAGGTCAGTGGTTCAACCCCACCAGCCATTCCAGAGGAGAAATACATGGCAGTTGCCCCTAAGGATTTACAGCCCCGGGAACCCTTGTGAGGCAGTTCTGTTCTGTCACTGCATTGGGGTTGGTTTACCAGCGGCCCGAGGGAGGGAAAGGGGCCCATTGTTTATGGGTGCCAAGTTTCTGTTAAGGGGGGTGGAGATTTAGAACAGGTAGTGCATGCTGTTGGTTGCACAATGTGATCATCATAGTTAATGTGACTAAATTGTACATACAAAAATATCGAAATGCAAATATTTTGTTATATATATTTCTGCTACAACCCCCCACCCCCACCCCAACACCCCTCGGGATAAGGTAGAGACAGACTTAGGCTGGACAAACCAGGATTGGTCTTCCTGACACCTGGCCTGGGCGGGAAGCTTACGGAATGAGATGTTGCTTTGATCTCCTGTGAGGTTGTGCTCATTGTCGCTGTGCTCCGAGGAGCCTAGAAGTTGGTTATATCATGACTTTTCCTTAAGGGTCTGGCTGGACAATGGAAGTCGCCTACCACCAAGTGTCGAGGTTCACGGAAGCCGAGAGTCACAGACTGAATCTCAGGACCTTAGCCTAGGTGGTCTGCTTACACAGCTTGTTCTGAGAGGGGTGAGATGAACCTTAAAAAATATTTCAAGAATATTTTTTGGATTTTGGGAAACCAGGTAAAATAACTAAGGAAAGCTTTAAGATAATACGGTAACAATGAGAGCTCCCAATAAAACAGTTAAAAAAAAAAAGATAAGGTAACAAGATCCTTACAACAAAACCCCTCAGAGTTTTAGCCTTTATTTGAGTAATAGTACATGCAAAATGTACCCACTCCTCACTGATGTGGTTGGGTTCTAATGACCAGGCTGTTAGACAAATTTGGCATTATCGGAGCAGGAGGCCTCCCCGGAGCCCAGACCCTCAGAACCTCGGGCCCCGCCATTCATTGGGATCTGGGCGCAGCTGCTGGCCTGGAAGCCCAGTTGGTGGCTCTGGGGCTCAGGCAGTCAGCAGGGCTGAGGGTCAAGATGGCCAGTGGCAATTGCTTCAGCCTCTCAGAGCAGAAAGGAACACCCCCACCTCCCCGCCCTCCACCGAAATCAAGAGCAAGATGTTAGTCTTCTGGACCTGGACGCTGAGGACAAGAACCTGAGGACTCAGCTCTGCTCAGAAGAGGTGCCCAGCCACCGAGGCAGGCAGGCAGGCAGGCGGGGTGTCACTCTGCTGCAGCCCCTAGACCCCGAATGACCCCCAGTGCCCACCTGGCTGCAGAACGTGGTCTCTCTAGGATTATTGAGTGTGTCGCAACCACCTCCCACACATGGCTCAGTTTGTCTCTCACTCAGCAGGAACGGGACAGGCCCTTCGCCCGTGGGCTGGGAGCCTGACCCACGTGCGTGGTTGAGCTGGCTGGGAACCCCAGGTGACTGTACAAAATAGTGAGTAGGTTTTTTGACAATGCTCATCAATATAAAATGTGAGATAACGAGATACTAAGTTAGGAGCAGGTGTGATTACACATGGAAGTGATTGCCTTTGTATTTTTTAGCACTTGTATAATGATCTCAAGTTGGCACCTACTTTTTTTTCTAACTTCATCGTAAGCAGAGCAAGACACAGATTTTCACAAACTCCCATTTGTGTGTGATTCGTTTTAAGTCATTTGAGTAAAGAGAAGCTAGGGTTTGTCGTCTCAGACTTGTAGACATTTTAAAACTCTCTCCTTGATGGCAGAGATAGTGTTCTGTTTATGTTCATCATCTCAACCTGTGACCAAGGAGCCACTGGTGGCGCAGTGGTTAAGTGCTTGGGCGAACCCAGAGTTTGGCTCAAACCTGCCCAGTGCTTCCACAGCAGAAACACCTCACAAACTGGGCCTAGAAAGCTCACAGCTGGTGGCAGCTCAGCTCTGTCACACGGGTCGCTGTGAGTCGAAATCAGCTTCATGGCCTCAAGCGGCAGCGGTGATTCGTCACCAGTTGCCATGAGGTTGCTGCCAACTCCCGTGACTCCTGTGTGTTAGGGTAGGATTGTGCCTTACAGGGTTTTCAGTGACTCTGCAGAAGCAGGTCACCAGGCCTTCCTGCTGGGGAGACTCGAACTTCCCCCCTTTCCGTTGGCAACCCAGCTTGTTAACCATCTGCACCTGGCATATTTGAATGGATAGCTGGCTAATTGAGTGTTCGTTCCTTTTCCATTTCCAAGTGGGGAAACTGTGAAAGTGGCCCATCAAATAGCAGTAAGTTGGGAAGTTCAGAGAACACGGGTTGCTCCTTAGCAGATGCTCAGTCTGGTTCTGTTCTTCCCATATAGCTCTGTTCCTCTGCTGGGCTCGCCGATTCCTTGCAGTGGCCACACAGCTCACAGACAACACTCACAGTTAGGGGTACTAGGGAAGTGGACAGGATCCGAAAGCAGTGAGGACAGAGTCACTGGTCCACAGCAGCTCCTCTCTTCAGCCAGCAGCCAAGTTTCTCAGCCTTTCAGTCACTGGCCCCTTGGTCTCTGCCTCGGGGCCCGGAAGCAGCCTGTCACTCTGGCTCGCAGTCCCCGGGTCTCGGGTCTCGGGGCTACTGCTGTGTTCTGCCCCCTGGTCTCTGTGTCACAGCCTCCGCAGCTCAGATAGAGATCTCCACGGCTTCACTGCCACGGTCCTGGGTCCCCTTCTGTGTTGTGCTTCTGAGCTGCCTCTTAGGCAGCGGGATGGCTTTTCTCTCTCAATGGTCCCCATCCCCAGGAAAACAAAGTGTAGGGACTTCATTCCCAAGCTCTAGTAAAACTACTAAGGATACGGCCCATGTGAATCCTGTCACAGAGGGTCCATCCATAGGACGGTAATTGCCTATATCAGCTGGGGTGGGGGATAGGGGGCGGGGGCTGGGCACCACCAATTTCTCCTCCTCCTCCTCCTCCTCCTCCTCCTCTTACTTCCTGCTTTGTGAGGAGAGACAGCCGGTTCCCGCCCTGTGTGTGGTCTCCAGACTCCCAGGTCAACCTTCGATGAAATGGGGACTGAAGTATTTCGAGTTTGCACCTCTGTACACGTGCTAAGATGTTCTCAGGAAGTGCTTGCTGTAGGACTTTGTCTTTCCATAAGAAGTGAGTGTGCCGTTTCAGCACCGTGACTGCTCCTTGTGTAAGAGTCTCCCGACTGTGAAGAGCTCGCTCCCAGTGCCGTGTGCGAAGCGTGGGTTTCCCTCTCTTGGCATGTAGTCAGGCCTGTCTGTCCATCTCATTTCTAGGTCCTACGGCTCTGCTGGCTCACGAAATAGGCTTTGGAAGCAAAGTGACAACGCACCCACTTGCCAAAGACAAAATGATGAATGGAAGTAAGTATACGCTTATATTTTACTATCAAAGCTTGGGTTTAGCCTTGTTTCCTGACAAGTAGAACCCAGTCCAAGGACCCCTGGTGGCGCAGCGGCTAAGTGCTCGGTGGCAAGCCAAATTGGTGGTTCAAACCAAAGCTATGGCCGCCTGATTCTGTGAAAAGCCTTAGAAACACCACGGGGCAGTTCCAGGCTGTCCCAGGGGTGGCCGGGTGTCAGCATCGACTGCACTGCAGCAGTGGGTTTGGTTTGTAACCTAGCTCATATAGCTTCTCCCTGCAGCCTCGCCTTTTCCTTGAGTGGTTTAATGGGGGCTGAGAAGAGGTGCCTGCCTAATCCCGGTGCACAGCAGTCTCCACCATTGGCCAGCCGGATCCTGCCACAGGTGGAAAGTGGCCCCTATCTTGACTGTGCTGCTGGCGGCCCAGGGAAGCATCTGAAACCCCGATGGCCCCGTCAGAAAGTGCCCTCCGCCCACAGCCTGAAGACAGGCCTGCTGTCTCCACTCAGAACACCTGTGCGTCAGGCACGTGTCTGCTGTGACGTGCTTTTCTTAACAACTGTCCACCAGACATTGAGTTTTTGTCCACCACTTTAATTGTATAAAAGCAGTTTCTGCTCACGGTTCAAGGTCAAAAAAACCTTCAAGCCATATGAGAGAGGGGAAAAGTAGAACGGAAACCTCCCACTCTTTATACTTCCCCACCGGCCTTCTCTGTAGCTCCTGCTCCAAGCTGCTTGTGTCGCAGTCCGGCATTCCCTCCACTCATCCAGCGTCTTTTTGTTGTTGTTTCTTTGGCCCAGTGAGGCTTTGAATGTGGTGGACACGCCACAGGATGTTCTCCGACCTTCACTCTCACACGCCATGCTGCATTGAGCCTCTCTGCGGCTCCCGGTCTAAAGGGCTGCCTGTTGCATTGTGCTACATGATCGTGAACTTTACCTGCAGTAGTATTGGCTTCAAAATGGTAGCGTTTTCAATGGTGCAAAAGTGACTAAGTGTGAATACTGTGATCTACTGGGGAATTGATGATTTTTTTTTTGATTCCGGCATTTCACTCACTCACTGCTATCCAGTCGGTGCCGACTCATCACAACCCCGTAGACGGGGGAGCTGCCCCTGGGAGTTTCTGAGACTGTCGCCCTTGACGAGAGTAGAAGGCCCCACCTTTCTCCCGGCTTTGACCTAGGGGAGAGCTTTCAGAGGGCCCAAAAGAAACAGGAGGAGCAGACCCCGACGTGCTTTAATCGTTCTGAAAGAGCTAAGCTGAGGCTGAGCACGCTCAGGCAGTAGCCGAAGGTTTCTCTGGCGCTGTTTCCTGTGAGCGCCCCAGAAGCAATGAGGTGGCTCAGGAAGAGAAGCCGACTGGATGGATGACTGTCCTGGGCAGAACTGTCACAGTCACTCAGGAGCGTCACCTTGGTGGAAAGTCACAGTCCTCAGTGCCTAGCAGGGCAGGTATTCCCATCTCAGCACCTCGGATGCTGAATTGGGAGGCGCAGGGCCCATGATCAGAGACGGGGTGCTCAGAAGTGAAGCGACTTGCCCCAGAGTTAGGCCAGCCTCAAACCAGCCCAGTCTTCTGCCTCCTCGCAAATCACAAGGGTCTCCCACACAGTGAAGTTGCCAGGCTCGGCATCGCATGGAGCCAGTCCGTCCTGTTACACAACATATGGTTGGAGAGCTCTCCCTCTGTAGAATGCTATGAGAAGGGGAGCTGTAACCGCGAATCATTTCCTGGTTGAGGCCCTTCTGCTTGTCTTCATCAAGAACTTAATAGACGAGTAAGAATCCCCCAGCCCCACGGATGAGTAGTCCAGTCTTGTCCTTCCTCAGCTTTGAAATTCGCTAAGTGGTAGCTTGCTTGAGTGTGCCGCAGAGAGGCTGCCCTCACCACGCCGCTGTCCACTGCCCCTCTTTTATCTAACATCATTCTCCTGATAACCCCTTAGGTCGAGAGCCCTATTCTGTAGAGGAGAAGACTCAGTGTTGGACTGCTACAACCTAGCAGGTCTGGGATTCGGATCTGGGGTCAGCATACTTTTCCTATAAGGACCAGATAATAAATATTTTAGCTCCATGGGACTTAATACTCAGCAGTGTAGCTCAAAATGCAGCCACAGATAATATGTCAACACAAAAGCATGCCTGTGTGTCAATAATACTTTATTTGCAAAAGCAGACAGTGGACTGGATCTGGCTCGGGCTGTTTTCGGACCCCTCTGTCTACAGAAGTTTTTCCCAAAGCAAGGAATTACCGCCCCCTGGCGGCCTTGGGACGATGGGGGCGGGGCCTGCAAAAGCAGTTGATTCAGTGACTTTATCCTGGATTATGGGCTATTGCGCAAAACAGTGTTTAATTGCAGTGGGAGGACACTGAGTAGTTTTTTTCTGCGAAGGGGGCCGTGGGCCAAGTAAGTTTGGGAACCTGTGGTCTGTCACCTTCCTGTTCCCAGGTGCTTTTCACTCGGAGACAACTGGCTTTGGGGATGTTTGCTTGACGTTAATACGTTTTAAAGGCCTCATGCAATTTTGAATATGAAATTCACCACTACCATTCAGTTGTGGTTTTTTTAAACTTTCTGTTGTGAATTGCGAAGGTTTTCAGAAGAGACCCTCGTTTTACATTCGCTAATTCAGACTCGTATTGATGGACTGACACGTTACCCTCCCTCAGTGTGCCCTGCCTTTTCCCACTTCCCTCCTGTGTGCCCGGTCTCTCTCCACTCCTTTCCTAACCTTCTGAATTTTGTCTTTGGGTGAATGCTGCCCTTTTGACCTGAAATGGGTGATTAGTCTAACATGGGGGCAGAGGGGGAACACAGTCCAGGCATGTGGACAGTCGTATTTGGGGTCCTGCTACCCTGTGCGGCCCGTAAGCCTGATCTCGTCGGATTTTGAGCCCAGTTTCGCATTCTCCTCTCACTCTACTCAGAACCTTCGCGTCTGATCCTCTTCGGGGCAGGTCATACTGGCAGCCGGGCACCATTGAGTTCTGGTCTCCAGGATATGGAGACCGGTGTTTGCTGTGTCCGTGAACCCACTGGACCAATGGTTTTCATGTGTCTTTCGTTTTTTGTCACTCCTCCCTCTGCACGGGGAGACACCAGCAGTCAGTTGCACCTGACGTGGTTATTCACAAACTCCTAAGCCCCCGGCTGCTCCTCACCACATTAGGCTGTAGAACATTATCTTTGTGAAGGCTGGTGTGCTGGTTAACTTTGGTGTGCCCTGGGATTGTGGTCCCAGCTCCGAGCTCCCGGAAGGTATTTAGTTATGTCTAAGATTTCATAACTTGGTCTCCGGTGTGCTCTACCACATTCATGATAGATCTACAGGAAAGGTGTACATAACATGTACAAATAGCCTCTGTTAAACCTAGATGTATGTATGGGTATGTTCCCACGTGCCCTCACCCACTGTTCACCGTGCCTCTCTCTCCAAGCATCTGCTCAAGATCTCCCCGCTGTTGCAGGCTTGGGTGTATAACGTATTTGCCTCTGTTGTCTTTAACTCGTGAAACTTCTGTGCCTTCCCTGGCTCCATCTGTTTTCTCTAGCCTCTCTGATTGTGTATTGCCTTTTCCTTTGTCCGTGTTAACACTTAGCTACCCTCGGACCTGTGGCTTCCCTTATTTCCCTCTCTTCCCACCCTGGGAACCATCAGAGAGGGTTTCTTTAGTATGAAGATGTCCTTTTGACTTTTTACGAGAGCAGCCTCGTACGGTGTTTGTCTTTCGTGGTTGACAAGTTGTGGCATCAAGTCTTCCTGCTCACTGTGTTGTGAGGCCGCCCGTTGCTGTGCCAGCTGCGTGTCTCTCCCGCAGGTGGGCTTTCAGGGGTCTGTGTCTGCTGTCGTGAAGAGCGCTGTGGTGAACATGGGTGTGCGTAGAGCTGTGGGGGCCATGGCTCTCATTGCTCTAGCTAGGGTATCTACTACTCAGTAGAGGGGCTGCAGGGTCCAGGGTGAGGAAAGCACCGTGGCTGCCCAGCTGACATTCCCACCAGCTGCAGATGGGGTTCCAGTCTCTGCACCCTCCCCAGCACGTGTGAGGTTTTATTTTGTTTCTCTCGGAACTCTGCGGTCAGTGCTGGGGCGAGGAGCTGCCTCCTTGTTTGGATTTGCACCCGGAATGGCTAACGATCCCCAGCATGTCTTCATTTGTTGGCCGCCTCCATGTCTTCTTTGGTGAACTGGCTGTTCGTGTGGCTCTGCCCATTTTTAAACGGCATTATTTGTCTTGTTGCGGTGTTAAAATTTTGTATAAGTTTTAGAGAGCAGTCCCTTGTTCATAGGTCGTCAAAAAAATTCTCTCAGTCTGTGGGCTCCCTTTCTACTCCTTTGGTGAACTCTTTTCATGCACACAGGTGACTCATTTTTAGGTGGTCCCAGCATCTAGTTTTTCTTCTGCTGTTTGTGTGGTTTTCATTAACAAATCAGTTGATTTTGCATTTGAATTCTCTCACCCTGTTGATTTACCAAGATGACCTTACCTTGTGTTTCTTTGTTATTGCCACTAGATGGAGGTAGTTGATAGGTGTGAACATTTTACTTTTCCGGCCTGAATTTTGGGGAAAAAACTATGAAACCCTTAAACCTCTCTGCCAGTTCACGCGCCATCCATAGTAACTAGTCTTTCAGCCACCAGGGCCCTGGTGATTGAACCGCTTAACAGTGGCTCTCCTGGCTCTCGCTGCCCCAGTTGGGACTGTTCATGGCACACTGGAGGACCAGCCTAGCCGGTTTCCTGGTTTTGCATCTAAAATGACCTTGGCCTGGTTTAAGCAGCAGGAAATGAGGTTAGATGATGAAAACCTGCCCCATGGTGCAGGCTCCTCCTCTTCGCCATAGGAGCATCCACTTGAAATGCTTAGTGCCCCTCTTCACCTGTTTCAGCAGTGACTTGACTTCTGTCGATGAGGAGTCATAAATTACTGTCGGTGTCTTTGATCAGAGAAGCCCTGATGCACAGTGAGTTACACTTTGGCCTACTGACAGCAAGGCCACGGGGGTGACCCCGCCATCTGCCCTTGGGCAAGATGAGGCTTTCTGTTCCTTTAAAGATGGACAGCCTCTGGAACCCAGCGGGGCAGCTCTGCTGGTCCCTGCTGGTTCCCTTGGAGTCAGAATCAGATGGACGGCAGGAAGGCTGTGTGGTCTTCCTCGGCTTTGAAAGGGCTTGGACACTGGCATGCTGTTTCTGAAGTCGGATGGTCCAGCTGAGCCCTGTGCTTCTGTCCCAGGGGGCTCTCTGGGGACTGTTTCTGTACGCAGCCATCATTCATGGACTTGCTGAACCCTTCTGAGTGCCACTGGGCTCGGGGACTAGAAATGGAGGCACCCTGCCAAGTTGTGCTGGATTTGGGGGTGTGTGAATCTCTTGGGGGTGCATCTCTGCCTGTTGAGTTCTGCCTTCAGGGACTGATAAGTCAGGACATGGCACGATGTCAGAGGCTCTTAACCCCTTTCCCTTGTCTCTTCCTCCTTTGGTGTCCCCAAGTCAGAGAGGGTGCTACTGTATACCATACACCAGCAGCTAGGACAGACACCTGGGAGTCACCCTTGAGGCCTCCCCATGCTGCACATGGGCTCTGCACACTTTCTCCCTAAAACACCTTAAGCCTGTTTCCGCTTCTAGGCCACCATCACCCTCTGCCAGCCCTCCTCTCCCCCGCCTTCTCTTTCCTTGGACAGCAGGCTCTCAGTGCCCCCTTCTGGCCCTTCCATACCGTTCTCCGTGCAGGAAGCCAGGCCCCGGAGGGCCTTGAGTGCCAGGCAAGCTCACCCCAGGTGCTGGGCAATGATGGTGAAGGCCTTGCCCGGGGGTGAGAACTGGATCTGTTCGTGTGCCGCTCAGGAAGGTTACCATTGGGCAGTGTGGAGCGTGGCCTACATGGGCAGAAACAGAGAAAGCCGTCATGGTGCGAGATGTAGCCCCTCCGCTGAGGCTGTGGAGGTGTGGAGAGGGGCGCTGGCTTCAGGAACACTGGCTGGCCCAGGCCTGCATTTGCCCAGCCCTTCAGGAGCCACTGTTTGGCGCAGGCAGGCGGGTGGTGGCCCTGCCATTGATAGGGTGGACCATATGCAAGGAAGCCAGCAAGGTGCTTGCAGATTGCCTGAGAGGGAGCTGAGTAGGGGCGGTGATGGAGTAGCACTGGAAGGATGGTTAGGAACTGAGAACAGTTTAGAAGGGAAGGTGACTCGGAGATGCCTGCTGAGGGGTTGACAGGGGCCCGGAAATTACAGGGAGGTTCAGGGTTGGCGGAGCTTTCTGGGCAGATCAGTCTGTGTAGCTCCTCGTGGTCCGGGAACGAACATGGGGTGGCAGTGCCAGTGGCAGGCGGGCCGGGGCCTGGGCTGCCGTCCTGCGGCAGTGGATATTGAATGGAGCATGTCTGATGAATGTCTGGTATTGGGGAGCCCCTTGGGGAGGCCCCTGAATGGACAGGAGCAGAAGTACATGTCTTGTTCTTCTGTTTGCCCTTTGGCTGAGCGTATGTCAGCACTCGGCAGCTAACAGAAAGGTTGGTGGTTAAGACCCACCCAGCAGCTTCACGGGAGAGACCTGGTGACCTGCTCCCATAAAGATTCTAAAGAAACTCAACTGCCACTGAGTTGGTACCAACTCATGTTGACCCCAGAGGGCATGTTAGAACTGCCCCTGTGAGTTTCTGAGACTGTAACTCTTGACAGGAGTAGAAAGCCCCAATCTCTCTCCCATGGAGCGGCTGGTGGTTTTGAACTGCCGACCTGGTAGTTTGCAGCCCAACCACATACTCACTATGCGAGTAGGGCTTCCCCCTAAAGATTACAGCTTAGAAAATCCCGTGAGGCCGTTGTGCTCAGTCATACGGATTGGCTGTGACTTACAGTAGACTCAACACCCAAAGACAAACCTTTGCTAAAAAGAAGCAGTGGGGGGCCGCAGGAGGAAACAGCCCTTGAGAAAGTGAATGTGGTTTCTGCCTACACACACACACACACACACACCTACACACCTCCAAACATTGTACTATACATTTTTTCAATATTTCCAGGACAGGAGCAAGTCTGTGTGCGCTTGCCGGTCCATGAACACAGGCCAGTCCCACCTTCAGCCGCTGGTGCTGACAGAAAGGCCACAGGGACATTTGCCATGTCCTAGAAATGTGAGGGATGGGCCCTCATTCTGACCCCTCCCTCGGCACGCTGTGCCAGCAGGTCCCACATCCCGCCTCCAGCTTCCGTGGGCAGGCTCCCTTGCTTCCTTCCCAGTGTTGGCTTCCCTCCGCCTCTGCTGACACAGTTTGGTACAGCTCTTCATGCAGGGCTGTGAAGGGCTTGGGTGCCGGAGAAATGCTGTTGAGTGGCTCGCTAGCTGGTTTGCTTTTCATGCATCGACGTAAAAGCAGTAATTGGCTGTAAGTGAATTGCTCAGCGGTATTGTTGTCCAGCCTGACCTACTGGGACATAATTTTCCAAATGTTTTGCTTTGAAGATCATTACAGCTACTCGGAGAACCGTGTGGAAAAGGACGGCCTGATCCTCACCAGCCGTGGCCCCGGGACCAGCTTCGAGTTTGCGCTCGCTATCGTGGAGGCCCTGAATGGCAAGGAGGTGGCCGATCAGGTGAAGGCCCCGCTGGTCCTGAAGGATTAGAGCCGCGGTGCGTGCTGGTGCGTGGGAGAAGCGGGCCGGCGGCCCTCTGCTCTCGAGAAGAAGGGCTGCTTCCAGTAATGTACTTGGTGCAAACCCTGTGTCCGTACATTTCAGAGCCTTGCCATTGTAGAATAAACAGGACACCTAGCAAACGATTGATCGTCGCTGCTTTCGTCTTTCGTCCGTGGAGCCCAATGCATGATCAGCCCCTTTGCCACCGTGGCTGTTTGTGAGGTGCCCATGAGTTGGCTCCAACTCATGGCAACCCCGCGTGCAGCAGAGCGAGCCACTGCCTGGTCCCTACGCCATCCTCACAGTGCTTACTGTTGCAACCGCTGTGCCAGTCCATCCTGTTGATAGGCTTCTTCTCCGACCCTAGCCCTCTGCTCTAATGAACAGAATGCCCTTTTCCAGGGACCGGTCTCTCCTAATAGCATGTCCAAAGGATGTAGCAGAAGTCCCACCGCCCATGCTTTTCTAAGGAGCACTCGGGCTGTACTTCTTCCCAGACAGATTGGCTTGTCCTTCTGGCAGTCGATGGTGCTCGTAATATCCTTCATCAGCACCACAGTTCAAGTGCATTGATTCTTCTCGGCCTAACTTATCCCTTTTTCTGTCTGTTGATACAGCTCCTGAAATAAGAGAATTGTGGGTGCATGTCATATGGCAAGAAGGAAAAGTCTAAAAGCAACGATTTAAGCGGCTGGTGATTTTTGTCCCCCTTCCCTCTCATGAATCGTATTTCTCCTGTGCTCTGAAGGGTTCCAGCGAAGGTGGGAGTCATGCACATGTTTGTCCGCTAGTTCTGAAGCCTTTTCCAGGCTGCCTGTGGGCAGCAGTACTCCCTGCCTTGTGCAGCCTGTAATGGGTGTGGGTAAAGCATGCTCCAGGTGGGCCTGTGACCTTCAGAACTTCACGTGATCACATGACCGAGGTGAGCTCACTCTGGGGCTTGTGTCCGAGCATCTGGCATCCTCTCTGCTGGCAGCCATCGGGTCACAGTGGGGACAGCTGCTGGAAATGGCACCGACACAGCGATAGAGATCGGGTGCCATGACCTTGCTTGACCCCGCGACACCGAATCAGCCGAGCAAGAACAACTCCTGATTTAGTGAACAGGGGGCAACCTTTGTTTGCTTTCGGTCGGTTTGTGTTTTGTCATTTTTAAGGCACCGAATGAAAGAGTAGGGAAAGAATTAGGTCATAGTCGAACCAAAAACCAAACCACTGTCCTCAAGGAGACTGAGCCACTGACCTCGCGGTTAGCAGTCGGACGGACGGACACTCAGCAGACAGACAGGCACAGCTAGGCTTTATCCAAAGGGAATCATTTCATGCCGTGAGTGGCATTTTGCTCTGCGCCCCTAATTGAGTGTCTTCTCTGCTTCCATTCGTTTCCCCCTCCTGTGGCCTAGTGCTAGTGTCGGCACGTCCCTGAAGGGCCAGCCAGATAGGAAATGAGATTGTGGTCGCCAGAGTCTGGTGGAAGGGCTCGACCCCTTGTGTGAAAGCAGCCGTAGACCCCACATTAGGAATGAGCATGGTTGTATCCCATTAAACCGTCATTGACAAAGTCAGGCGTTACTGGGATTTTGACGCTTAGATTGTAGTTTGTTGACTCCTGGTCTAAGAGGCAAGGTCTCAAAATAAATAAATAGGTAGTCATAGCCATCAAACCTATTCCAACTCGAGCAACCCTATAGGACTGGGCACACCTGCCCTGTGAGTCTCCGAGACTAGCTCTCTGGAGTCAGAAAGCCTCATTTTCCCCCACGGAGCAGCTGGTGGTTCAAAGTGCCCACCTTGCAGTTAACAGTCCAACTCAGACCACGACACCACCCGGCCCCCAGAAAGCAAGGTAGATGCTAATTTTAAAACTAGAAATAAAACACGGTTGCGTGTTTTGGTCAACAGCACTAAGGGATGTGAAGAGAATGCTCCAGGGGAGAGAGCTAGAGAGATCTTGTTTACACGGCACAATGGTGTAGGCCTCCCAGAAGGTGACATAACTGAAACCGTAAGTAAGGTGTGGACGCAGGTCTGACTTGGCGACCTTAATAGAGAGCAGCAGAGGACATTGGCTGGCCCAGCGCGGTCACAGTTGTTCCTGGGCTAGAGCCCATTGTGCAGCCACCGTGTCCGCCTGCTTCATCAAGGCCTTCCGCTTTCACTGCTCCCCCACCAAGCAGGGTGTTGTCCTTCTCCAGGGATGGGACCCAAAATATGTGAGGCCCAGTCTCACCATCCTTGCTTCTAAGGTGCATCTGGCTGTGCTTGTTTCAACATAGAATTGGTCATTGTGATCATCTGTGATAAACCGGTAAAATTCTTCGCTGCTGCAGTAACTCAAAGATATAAGTTGTTTTTGGTCTTCCTCATTGTCCATTTTTCACGTGAACGCTACACAATTGAAGGGACCAGAACTTGAACCGGGCGCCGCTCAGTGTTCAGAGTTACCTCTGAAGGGATGTCTGGTAGCATGTGTCCCCAGTGTAGTGTGTTGTTCCTTTTCCCGATCGCTGCTTCCATGGGCGTTGAATCTGGATCCAAGTAAAGTAAAATCCGTTGACAAGTTTAATCTCTTCCGTTTATTATGAAGTGCTTATTGGTCTGGTTGTGCGGATTTTTGTTTTCTCCGCCTGAAGATATAATCCATATTGGAGGGTGTGGCCTTTTTACATCATCACTTACGCACTTTTGAGTGTTTTCAACTTGAATTGAGAGACCATCTCAAGAGTAGACTTGATACTGAACAGTAATGACCAGATAAGTTGTGGGATGATACCACAGACATCCTACAGAAATAACTAAAAGGTCTTTGAAGCAATAGGGGGGAAAGGGTAAAACTGAACATCAGAAGAGACGCAGAAGCTTGCTTTTGACTGTAGAATAACTCTTAAAAAGACGAATGAAGTAAGAATGCTGAACAGAAGATTTCAGAGGGCAGTTCCAGAACACAAATATTATGACAAAATGCACAGACATCCAGAGCTTGACAGCCAAAAGGAACGAACCCGGCATTTGGGACTGAAGGAAAAATCCAAGCCCCCAGTCGCAGTGTTGACGGAGTCTATGGCAAAATCCTGAAAGAAAAGAAAATGGAAGGAAGAGACAAAATCGGTGTACCAAGAAGAATCGGTCGACTCTCAATCATTTCAGCATATGGTAAGAACTGAAAATTGTGAAGGAAGATGTCCAAGCTGCACTGAGGGCACTGGCAAAGAAGCAAGGCTCTAAGAATTGAAGAAATACTTAAATCGAGATGTTTCAGCAAATGGATGTACAGCTAGAGGTGCTTACTCATCTATGCCAAGAAATGTAGACGGTATCTACCTGGCCAACTGACTGGAAGACATGCAAAATTCATGACCATTCTAGAGAAAGGTAGCCCAACAGAAGGCAGAATTATTAAGCAGTATTCATTGCATGTGCAAGTAAAGTATTATCAAAGATTATTAAAAGACAGTAAAGATTATTTTACTAACAGTGTATCAGGGAGGAAGAAGATCATTGCTGGTGACAAAGTGGTCTTGGTTGAAAGCAGAGAATACCAGAAAGACATTGGCCTGTGCTTCATTGCAAAGTCATTCAGATACGGGTAGGGATTGGATTTTTACTGGTTCAGTAGATATTTGTGCAGAACTTACTGCATGCCCAGCCTGTGGTTCCTGGTGCTGTGGATAAGCCACTGAAAACACATGACGTCTTTGTCTTCCTAGAGCTCATATTCTAGAGAAGGAAGAGAAAGAAAATCGAAGAAGTCTATCAGTTCTATGCGATCAAGAAAAATCAAGTAGGGGATGGTGTAATAGTTCAGCACTAGGCTGCTGACCGGAAGGTTTGAACCTACCCAGTGGCTCCACTGGAGAAAGACATGGGGAATCCACTCCCACAACGATCTACAGCTTAGGGACACGTATGGGGCACTTCTGCTCTGTCCTATCGAGCCTTCATGAATCGGAATCGACAACGAACGATGAGGCCATCTGAAGAAAAGTAGGTGTGAGCAAGGCAGGTGTCTGCATTGCAGGTATCCATTCCTGGCAGGAGCAGGAGGCTGAACTGCCAGCGGGCACTGTGTTCTTGAGGTGTGGAGGAACAGCATGGGGAACTTGGCGGTGAGAAGGTCAAGTTGGAGAGAGTGAGCCATGGTGAGTCCTCACGATTTGGGAATGGACTGACGATGGGATGCTAGAGGAGATCCAACTCGATCAAACTGGCTAGCTCTGTTGCCAAGGGGGCCTAGTGGAGTGAGTACAGTCCCTGGGGTATGGTGGGAGGCGTGGACCAGGACAGCCTTGGGCTGCTTCCTAAAGGTTGGTGGTTCAGACCCACCAACTTCTCTGGAAGGTGAGGTGGTCTGCTCCCATAAAGACTTCATATCTCAGAAACCCGAAGGAGCCTTTCCACTCTGTCCAACAGGTGATTGTGAGTTGAAATCGCCTTGATGGCCGTGGGTTTGGTTTTGGCGTTAGTGCCGTTGTATGCTGGGCCGTGTAATCACGGTATACCCGACATGGGAAATGGCAAGTATTACACATGGGAAAGGGTGGAGCTTATTAAGTTCCCTTCTCTGATTAGGATTTCTGCATTCTGTTAGAACATTATAAAGGTGCCCCAGTGGAGAAGTGGGTTACATATTGGGCTGCTAACCACAGAGTTGGCAGTTCAAGCCCACCAGCCACTTCTCCAGGGAACAGTGAGGCTTTCTCCCAAAGCCTTGAAAAACAGAAGGGTCAGTACTCCGTTGCCTTATGGGGTCGGTATCAGTCTGACTTGACTGGATGGTAGTGGGTTGGTTTGTTTGTTTTTTATTAATAACCTCATGGGACCCTGAATATACGTCCTGCCGAGGTTACCCAAACATGTTCGTGGTACATAGCTGTCCTGAAGGTCACAAACTGCTGATCGTTAACTGAACATTTTTCAAATACCCCAGCTTCCTCCAGCAGCCCCTCCCTCTGAATGAGCTCCCTGGAATTTTTACAAGGAAAGTCAGGAAAGAAGCCCTGTGGTGCCGGCTGGCCTCAGCGCTGCCAGAAAAGTGGCTCTAGGTGGACAAAGGCATGAAAAAAGAACTTCGAAGAGTCTCAGGTTCCCAGGAACCCGGGGAGGGAAGTGTTCTTCCTCCTGACCATACATGTTTGTGGTCTGG